GCTCATCCTCCTGCTGCTCCACAGACACTACCCTGAAAGCTTAATCTAATAGCTAAAAAAGCAATTAAAGAAAAGGCTCCATTCTTAAGAAGCTGTCTCAAGTCAGTATTTTTTAAATGCAGCCGATCACCAAGGGGAAGGAAATAATAGATTTCACCATCTTTTCCCAACTGCACGGCCGTTGCTGTATTGCAATCGTGATAACTAGAAAAAGAAAGATACTTTAACATTCCAGTTTTAATAAAAACTTCTTAAAAAAGGAAGTCGCACCCTAAATTCATACCAGCATCTTTTCTTACGAAGTCAGGGCTGATTTGTTCTCTTCCCTCCTGCCTACAGGGAAGGGAGCGGGGCTGGGCTGTGGGGCCGGACCCGCTTCCAGGCAGAAATATTCAGGGAAAAGTTGCACCTAAATACTGATGTTTCAACAGAACCCACTACTGGCTTAACTGGATGTTCTATACCTGCTGAGAGAATCACACTGGGGAAGAAAAAGCAGGTTCTTAGGCCCTTTTAGCAACAACGGATGACTTGGAAACAGCAATGAGCAAATCCTAAATTTTTCAAAGCCATTTGATTTGGGGCTCAGATTTCCTGGTAACTTGCTAGGATTTGGGTTTGTGAGGCAGGTGTTTGGCATTTCTAACTCCCTGCTCCCTTTGGGAGACATCAAACCGAGCATTAAACTCCTACGGCCTTGAAAGTTCAAGTCAAGGTGGTTTTTGTTTTGCTTTTCCCCCTGAAGGTCAGCTCAGGATTGAATCCTTTTGTCAAGGCTGGCTGGAGAGCAGGAGGCTCTGTTAATCTGCAGGCGCTGCGGCTCCCTCCTGGCTTCCTTCCCTTGCAGTTTGTTTTACTTCAGGATTCACCCCCCGGGATTGTAAAGGCTGCAGACGAGGGTTAGAGGTGAAACAAAGAAAACGAGGTTGGTTGTTTATTTAGAGGGAGCCAGAATTCATAATGTCGGAGACACTGGGCCCCTCCCCAGAGATAACCGTCATTTTACAGCACCTCTCCACAACTTTTTTTTTTCAGAAATAAAATACAGTGACAGACCCAAAATACCATTTCCCCGAGTAACTCCTAGAACCGAAACAAGAAAGAGTTTTTTCCTGCAAAGTGCCCAGCCACTGGAACAAAACAAACGTGCTTCCACTCATCTCCACGTGGGAAAGCATCTGAAAAAAGAAATAAAGACAACTTTGCCTCCCTCAGAGACCTCCTCCTTTTATTCACTCAGCTTGTGCCTTATTAGGGAGGTCTTCTTTTGACCAGAGATCTTTTTGCCTCGGGAGGTAATCTTCTTATCCCCCTCCTTTTCAATGAGAAGGCCAAATTTTGCTTTCACTTATTCGCTGTGGAACCCCTCCGGCCGGTAGCTAACAGGCACATCGCCTCCCACACGGGCAGCCTGGCGATACATTTTCCCTGTTCATACCTTGTTTTAAGGATCACTACAGCAGCAAGGGAAGGTGCAGAGGCATCCATTACACCTGAGGGAAAACCTTGCTCTTTCCCCAGGCTTTTCTGGGTGTTTGCCCTCCCAGGGCAGCATCCCCTTGTAACGAGATTGCTGGATTTACAAGAGAGCAAGTGGTTGTACAACAAAAACTGGATTCCAGGGTCCTGATAAGAGAAGGAAAGCTGTCCTGCAACCAGGGCCGGGCCAGTCACCTGACCACTAATCCGGGGTGCATCTGCTGGCGTCAGTGGCTTTACGCTAAACACACACGGGGGTGAAAAATGGGAGTCACAGCCCAGCTCAGGCAGCCCAGCTCCAGCACTCTGCTACCAGAAGCGGCTGCTTACTTTCAAGCTCTCCGCACAGCCTGTAATCACCCAATATTGAAACCAGATTTACAAGCTCTTTAGAGGAGGAGAAGTTTGTGATTTCCAAAGCAGACGCATTCGGTATTTCAGAAAAAGGTCAAGCCCCCTGTGAAGGAAGGGGGTTTTAATAGAATCAGTTCAGCAAGAGTTAAGAGGAGACATACCAACCCAGCGGCTCTCAAAGTCAGGAGAGGCAGAGACGTAAGAAAAGCCGCAACCATTATTGTTTTGAGGGAAGAATCGGGGAAAAAAAGAGAGGCACGGGGGACGCTAAATTACATCTTGGACGTTTGATTTCATTAATTCCAATCCGAGAGACTTTTTTCAGTTAGAAATGGAGAGGCTTGTCCTTCTCACGCTGCGGGGCTTGCAGCGGTTTCAAAGAAAGGAGTGTTTGTTATTGTCTGCAGGGGAAATCTGAGCGCGCGTAGCACAATGACAAACCCAGGCTCCTAAGTCAAATGCATTTTAAAAGGACAGCCATCGCTTACCGCCTCACCCCTTCGGCCTCCAGCCAGGCTCTGCAGCTCTTGGTGTCTGCTCCCTGCCTCGCTAGGTCGCACGTAGTGGGCGCCCAGGGCTGCCTTGTTCCCCACCGGCACGACACCCAGCAGCCGGGAAGCCAACGGAACATCACTACCCTCCCTCTTTGTCACAGGAGTACAGGTTTTCTAAAAAGTTTGATGGTGTTGCTGGGCTCTGCAGGCAACATAAGCAGCCACTACAGAAATACTTAGCAGTGATGCAGACGGCTGCTGCTCGCTCCGACACCCTTCGGGCTCTGCAGTCAGTAGTTTCAGCGAAAAGATCTGGGGCTTGTTCCGTAACTCACATGGCTGCTGCCAGACAGACACCAGAGCTCATAACATAGTTTCCTGAATATATGGGCTTTAAAATAAATTGGAAATCCACATTTCATCCTTAGAAGACTCACAGCCCAGAAACTTCCAGGCTGTACCAACGCCACCCCTAGCCACTCCGCAGCCCTGCTCCCAGGACCGCAGGGGAAGGCAAACAATCTCTTTTCTTCTTTAAAACATCTCCAACAGCAAGGGGCCAATTAGGGTTTCCTGGTCTTAGTAGCCTTTTAATGGCAAGCATAAATAGGCCCTTATGCATTCAAATCAGCAGCAAATGAGTGGTGAAGGTCACAGGATGCTTAAATGACCATACAACGTGCTCCCGCAGATTTCTGGAGAAAGCGCTTGAAAGGTTTAGCCATCAGATCTCCTAAGCTGTCTAGTCATCGGAACCACTGGTGCAGCTACGCCTGACAAGCAGTATTTCAGATCTGCCTGTTTCAGCACCAAGTTTCCGGCCAGTCATTCCCAAAAATAATATGCTTGGCAGAGCAGGCAACTGCCCTAGACTTTCAGATCAGTGCAAAGGAAGGGCAGAGCTCTTCTAGGAAAGCAGCGCTGTGAAAGGTCAGCCAGAAGACCACAGGCCAGATTCCAACAGCAGTTGCAGCCACGTAATTCCTTAAACTTTAGCAGCAGAAAAAGGTAGAAACCAGAGAATGCAGTTATCCGCATTAAAAGCGACTCTCCAGGCACTCTGAGGCAGTAAGAAGAGTCAGCAGCTTGAGGCACACAGATGAACTAATCCTAAACTGCACTTTAGTATTACAAACATGGGCACAGTGGGACCACAGCATTCACAAGGCTCTCGCTGCACGCAGCCAGTACGAGTGTTTAACTGTATGGGCAGGCTTGCAATAGCAATACCTCTGGTTGCCCAGCCAAGTGGCCAACGTCTCTCCAACAAGCCTAGAGCTTACACGTGCTTTCAGGAACACCAGCTTGTGGCTTCCAAGGGGCAGGTTTCCCTTGCTTCCCCCACTTTGGGTTCCAGGCTGCATATCCCAACACAACCTACCACAGGGAGCAGCCTTCCAGACCAACACACCCCCACCAGGCTGCTGTAACCCCCTTTGTGCCACCCCCTTCCCACCAGTGGCAACTGCAGGGGCTCAACTCCACAACCAGAAGGCAGAAGCACTTCTAAAACCATTTAAAACACAGATGAACGCAAAACTCCTGCCAAGCTTTATCTCCTGTAGCAGCATTTTGGACCCTTCTTTCACCATGATGTGGCACCTGCCTTTTAAGCAAGCCTACTTTAATTACTGCAACAATGTCCCACAAAGCAAAAAAAAAAAAAAAAAAACAATAAGCTCTAGAGGTTTTGTTTGTTTTCAGCAACTAGGCAACAAATAAATGAAGTGATCAAGCAAAGCCAACTAGCTGAAGGAGCAAGAAACAACTAAGCACACAAATACTGGCAGGGAAGAAAAGCCACCTATGCAAGAATAGCAAAGGAGGAGCCAGAGATTAAAGCAAGTTGATTCTTCTGTCCCCCACAAAAGTAGCAGCATGTGATACCAAGTTACTATACAAGAGCAAGGCAGATGCCTGCCACTGTGCCCAGAGGGGTTATCCATAGGAAAAAAAACCAAGTACACAGCAGAATAGGCATTGCGGTTTTGAGGTTTCCCTCTTCTCCACCCCACCACCCAAAAAAAGTTTCGGAGTAAAAGGTGCAAAAGGAAAAAAAGATCACAGAACACAAGAACTGTGAGACGAGGGAGGAAAGTCAGCTATAAAGAATTAGGATCCCCTTTCTGATGTGTTTCACAGAGAGAGGAAGCACTTGATTAACAGTGAGGAAGAAATAGTTATCACACAAAGCCACAGAAGAACTCACCCAGGTTATAAGCAAAGTGTTGCTACTTGAAGTATTTAATAACAAAGCTGCCACCCCCCTTCTGGAACGGCCCCCAATTTGCCTCACAGAGCAGGAAAAATAGACTCTTGCTTTCAGAATCTAATTGTTATGCACAACATTACCATGCATATCACTCATTTGTTTCCCACCCACCAAAAAAAAATTTTCCAAAACAAAAAGCCACAAGCAAGTTTCAGACAAAATATATATATTTTAAAAAATCTTTACAATAAGTCAGGAAACATAGGAGCTTGCATACAGTTTATTATAATAACTCAGTTCTCAGCTCCCTACAGTTCAGATAACCCTGGTGACAGTGTTTACAACTTCTAATTTTTGCTTTCATAACTTTAAAGCAAACAATACATTTGAGTGTATTTTACTCTGTGCAAATAAGACAACTTTTGGAATCCTTCAGAAGAAATATCCAAGATTCTGTTTGCAGAGGTCCTTTGTTTCTCAAAGATGATTTATGAGAGTTTTTGTTTTCAGATAAAGTGCTCCTGTCCAGCAGAACCCAAAGGCCTTCAAGAGTTCAGAGAGTAAGTTTAGCTCAGATTAAAAAATAATTGGTCATACAAATTCCAGCTTCCCATGTCCGCTGTACATTCCCCAGTGGACTAGCGAAAGAATTTTATCATTGCTGAGGTCTGAATGTCTCATTTTATCACAGGTCATGCAGCAGTTCTCGTGACCAGTCACAGGCACCATGCATTCCAAGTCCAATTTTGCCACCTGCCCTTTTTTCGAATGATGTCCATGAAAACTATAGTGCAAACGGGAGAGCATTTGCTGTCGTTGATCTTGCAGTCTCTTATTTTCACTCCTGAGCATCCGCAAGGCCAGCATGATAAGGAGCACCAAGATTAGCCCACCAGCTATAGGAACAGCAATTACAGCTGCCCTGAACCATAGCTCTTTGGAAGAGGTCAATTCCTGCACCTTGGTGATGAGATTCCTGC